CACATTTTGGTATGAAAAATAGATACGTCGAATAGACTAACCTGCTCTGTTATCAGTCTGTCAACTACACTAAGGGTCGATTTTTCAAACACCAGTTAATTCTTAACTGTAGAACAAAATTGACAGTTGACTGTTCTTAGCATAGAAGAATTTAAAAAAATATCAGTTTTAGCATGGATGGAGTCTGGAATTGTGCCCGGTATATGACAATAGGCTCACCCCCTATTACATGGGACTCATAACATAAATAGTGAAAAGTGGGTGTTACATTGTGCAGTGGCATTAAGTGTTTAATGTGCACTTATGGCTACTCCTTCGGGGAGAAAAAGACGTGATGCTGTGTAGTCAAAGTTATTCCTTTGTTAAAATTTATCTGTTGTTAGAAAAAATGGGCCCTAGCCAATAACAAGTAGGTAGTGACATCGGACCTATATAAATATTAAGTCTAAAATCTAAATCCTAGATATAACAAAAAAACATTATCAAGAAGTTTAATATCACTGTAGCCGATACGTAAATTTATTTATTTATTTATTCTTTAATGTACATAATTTGTTAATGGTACATAAGGCGGACTTAATGCCATAGGGCATTCTCTACCAGTCAACCTTAGGGTTTAAGTAGAAAATCTGCGAAAACTAAGGTACGGAGAATAAACTAACAACAAAGAGAGAGAGAGAGAGAGAGGAAAAAATAATGGTAATTATTAAATAATATAGAGGTAGTTATACATATATATTACATAATAGTAAATAGTATATATAGTCATATGCATAAAATATATAGGTATAAATACATACATAAATATATATCGACGAAGACCTAGATCTAGCGTTGCAGCGATTTTAAATAAAATTCATGAACTAGGTGTTTGAAGGAGATTTTATTAGGAGCTTTTTTGATATTGAGGGGGAGCGCATTCCAAAGTTTGATGACACTTATTGTAAAAGAATTAGAAATAAAAGAGGTCCGGTGGAATCTTACCTACAAACCCAAGAACACAACCTAATAACCAAAAAAAACAAATACATTTTTTTAAGGTGTAAATATTGTAGTTCATAGTCATTTATATTTTAAGTTGTATTTATTTCCATTTAGTAATAGTTAATAATAATTAAAAAAAAACAATCCAAAATAAAAACAAATCCGTTAAAATAAAAATCTATCGATAACGTTCACCAAAAGCTATCGACACACTCCCATCCCTAAAAATCAAATTTTTATTTCTTCCCCCTCGAGGTACCGTATACATTATTTATCAGTTACATTGCACAATGCTTAATGATCCCTAATTCTATTAGACTGTAGACTATCCGTGTGTTTGTTTTGATCTACGGAACTTGAAACAATTTGTTAGGGAAGTAATTTTGCTGAAAAGCACCAACTGTTTGGATTAGAAGTTTGTAAAAGAGTTTTATAGCTGTGTTTATGAATACTACAATATTATAAAGTGCTGTATTTTATTGTGTCATATAGTTACTATATTTTTTATTATCATTTAATTTTTATTCAAGATATCGAACATATTATTTACAGCTTAAAATTAACTACAACTCTAAAGTTGTAAAAAAAAGAAAACAACAAAAAATATACCCTTTTTTTAAGGGGAGAAAATCATCGAATGACTGCTCCCGCCTGGGTGAGGTGGGTCACCTTTTGGTCACCATTTGTCACCACCCCTACTCTTTCCGCGGGTGTCGTATACCCGACTAAGGGACTACACATTTGACAGACACCGGGCAGCAGCGCTCTCTGATAAACCTGAACCTTTTATACTGCCTGGACTACAGGTTTAAGGACTACAGGGTCTGTTTTTGTTGTCTTGTGGATTTCTTTACAATGTCAAATATTAATACTCCACAGACTCTTGATTCGTACCCTTGTCATACATTTTTTTACAATACATACGTCTAATCAATATTTATAAAGTACATAATGTTACGCACTAAAAATGAAAACATCTATAATTATTACCACAAGAACACACAAGAAGGATTTGCCGTAATCTCCACGCTTCACAGACGGGTTGGAGATTAAGCGTTAAAATAATGAGGTTTATCAGAAGCACTGCTGCCCAGCATTTATCAAATATAGTCCTTTGGTCATCTCTTTAACGAACCCCACGTGAGACTAGTGTATGTAGACTAAAGCCGCCACTACACGACAGATCTGGATCATCATCAGCAGCCTATAAATGCCCACTGCTGACCAAAGGCCTCTTCTCACACGGAGAAGGTTTGAGCATTAATTACCACGCTTGCTCAATGCGGGTTAGCTATTTAAAACTTATAATTAGAAATGATAAGCCCAGGTTTCCCCACGATGTTTTCATATTTGTCAGTGGTGTCTAGATAATCTTAGAAAGTACATATAACTTGGAAAAAGTCACATTGGTACTTGCCGTTGGTAGGTTTCGGACCCGCACCCTCGTGCGTGAGAAGCGTATTAAACCATCGGGCCACCTATACTGAGTGTAGTAATTATAATGGCCGTTTAGAATTAATAGCGAAACTTCAAGTTTATTAAAAACCTTTTACTGAGGTCTCGATCACACACATATCCTTAATTATATTTTAAATCGGAAAGTGAGTTTGTTTGTTTGTTTGTTCCGCCTTCACGACGTAACTACTGAACCGATTGCTTTGAAATTTTGCAGATGTAAAGTAAGAAGTATGGATTAAATAATAGGGTACCTACTTTTTATCCCGGAAAAATTTGATATTCCCGAGGGAAAACAAAAGTATTGGTATAGATGGCGCTGTGTGTATTGGTATATGTCACATAGGCTATTTTTTATCCTTTTGTGACGCGAGCGAAGCTGCGGGTAAAAGCTAGTAATTAATAATCATCTAAAAACATGTGTTAGATAGATGTGTTTACAATACCAATAAAACCTCCCCTTAAACGCTGTGAGATAGGGGTGCGTCCCCTTATCTCAGCTCAGCACCCTTGGGGGTAGTTATCAAATTATTGCTCCCACTACATTGAGTATTGTGGTTAAAGGGCTGTGTATGCTGTGTTACTGTGTTTAAAGATTTGGGCAATCTTTATTGTCAGGGAGGGATATTCATAGTGAGTTTTGCAGGTAGACTTGTAGAAGTTGAATAATACTTAATTCAAGTGGGAGAGAGCCATGCTTCGGCACGAATTAGCCGGTTCGACCGCAGTGATATCAAGGTCTCACAAAAAACCAACGTGAAACAACGTTTGCGTTGTGTTTCGTCATGTAAGTGAGGTTATCGGAGCCCCAATTCCACCCTCCCCCATCTACCCTAATCCCCGAATCCTCAAAAGGCCGGTAAGACACTTGTAACGCCTCTGATTTTCCGGATGTTCATGGGCGACGCCGATTGCTTACAACCAGGTGATCAATCTGCTCGTTTACCGGGTTATCCCATAAAAAATACATTACACCAAGATTAATTAAGTTATTAATTAATAACAGTTTTTTCGCCTGCAGATTTGCCCACGAGTTTTTTCAATAATTACTTTATCTACTGATAAGAACTACAGGAAAATTCATTCAGTGGTTTTTGAGTTCATCATTGACAGACAAACACAGCAGGAGTCTTTGTTTTACGCTATGTAACGATGTATTTATTATTGTAATGGTTATTATTATTTAATATTCTTTGTGCTGCCATCTATTGATAAGATGTGTAAGCGGGTTTTGTTTTTTTAAGGGGGAAAAATCATCAAATGACTGCTCCCGCCTGGGTGAGGCTGGAGGGAGTGTCAGACTCTTAGTGACTAAAAACCACCCCGTTCCTTCTCCAGCACGTCGAGCCGGAGCCCCGGTAACCCGTTAGGTTCTCCGCAATAGAAATGTTATAAGCAACTAGCAAACCCGACGAACTCCATTTCGCCACCAGATTGATTCGTTTTATGTAACATTCCGTGTGGTGATTAAACGATGAAGAAAAATTTTATTCCTGATTTTTTTTGCAATAATAATTATAAACCTCACGGAGCCCGAGACCTTTCCAACGAATGCAAAACCGTGGAAATCGGTTCGTGCGTTGTGAAGTTATAGCGTCAGGAAGGAAAACCTGACTTATTTTTATATAGTAGATTGCCTATGTTATTTTTATTAAATAATTTAACTAAAGTTAATCGTTACTTGTCACTTTCAACCGTCATTTGATTTAAATCAATTTATTCCAAGTAATTCGATGTAGACGTTAAATAAAACCTGTACTGGCAATGTAATTCTAGACATAGTATTTAGACAAACAAGAGATAAGACACATAACGTACATTCAATCAGTATAGATCTAATAAACCTGTAAAATAGCCGTCATAGCAGCACTGCCTGGGTGCTTACTCTTGAAACCAATCTCAATGTCGATGCAATTTCAATCCAATAAAATCTCAATAATTACGTACAAACTATACAACCCATATCGTAGCTGTTAAAATAGCATTCAGAGTACGGAGTATAAAGCCAAACTCAATAACATTTAGTTCATTCAACATCCACGCATTACGGGCGCTAGCGTTGCAACTCAAGAGTATGAAATGTCACAATACCAATGTCGATCGATCAGAATTGGATTCAAGAGTAAGCCCTCTAATAAGACACGTAGTGTACATTCAATCATTATCCTTACTTATATTATAAATCGGAAAGTGAGTTTGTTTGTTTGTTTGTTCCACCTTCACGCCGTGACTACTCAACCGATTGCTTTGAAATTTTGCAGACGTAAAGTTAGAAGTCCGGATCAAATAATGGTACTTTTTAACCCGAAAAAAAAACGATATTCCCGAGGAAAAACAAAAGTATTGGTATAGATGGCGCTATGTGTTTTTGTATATGTGACATAGGCTACTTTTTATTCTTTTGTGTCGCGAGCGAAGCCGCGGGTAAAAGCTAGTAGATCTAATAAACATGAAAATGGTCGCCATAGCCGTAGTCCCTGATCATTTTAACAAATGCAGGATTAACGCTTATAACAAAGAAATCCGGTGACTTAACGAGGTAGTAATTGGTACAAACTCACCGGAACTGGGTCGATCACTGTACCTAGTACAGTAGACCCACGCCGGCCAGACCATGGCGCCGTCTCCCATCGTCGTACCTGCAGGACATATGGGGGTTATAACTTGTAGAATACGCACAATACTAGGATTGCGAAAAGTTTTGATATGTAAGCAAACGTTTCGTATAGGTTTATTAAAGTAAATAATTTATATTAAAAGGAAACGCCCGTTTCCTAATTTCTGCAAACAGTACTATACCGGAAAATACAGCATATAAATGTGAAAAAATTGATAGACATTAAAATTCTCAGCAGTAGTACGGAGTCTGGAACTGTGCCCGGTATATGGCAATAGACTCACCTCTATTACATAGGACTCATAACATAAATAGTGAAAAGTGGGTATTACAATGTACAGCGGCATTAGGTAGTGCCGTAATGTGCACCTCTGCCTACTCCTTCGGGGATAAAAAGCGTGATGTTATGATGATGGACATTAAAAATCATTAGTCATCTTTTATATTCTTACACAATATTTATATTTTGATATCTTAAGTCATGAATTCAGGATCTAAGCTTTAAAATTAAAACAATGCAATTGAGTAATTATCAAACTAATTGTATTAGAGGTAAAGAGACCGTATTTCAAAGAATAAGCAAGAAAAGTAAAATAATTCCTTACCAGTAGCCGAACTCTGACTGCTCCCACTATCTTCACCTTTCGACAAGTCTATAGCTCCACTCTTTTCTCCTGGCTTCACTTCAGGAACTCTTGCCTCTTCAGGCTTCGAAGGAGACGCCTCCTTCACAGGAGACATTTTAGCCTCAACCCTCGTCTTCATCTTCCTCTTATTCAGAGGATCCGTAATCCTCCTCCCAAAATCAGCCTTAAGTATATTGTCTATACTAAATTTCAAACAATTCTGGTTAATAAAGTCCCTCCCTGACTCATTTTCTGGGGATTTTGGGGAGGCATAGTTCATTCTTCTGTTCTCATCCGTCCTTCTTAATTCTTGGGTCTGGTTCTTCATCCGTAACCCGAAATTTAGACCGAAAGGCTGAGGATTTAAGTTCAAATTGTTTTGTGCTACCGGCATCCGACTTTGCAAGCCTGATTTTAAGTCTACTTGGTTTATTAGGGGATTTTGAAAGAGAAGCGGTTGGTTTAGGAACATTAAAGGATTTGGAGTGATCGGGCTTGGCCTTAGGAGGAGTGGCTGGTTCATATTTATATTTTGGTTCAACTGTGATATGGCGTTTAGATGCGTCTGTATGTGCTTGAATGAAGTCAAGTTCTGCGACGTCTCTGGCCCTTTCTGTTCGAAAGTTGGCAACGCTTCATTGCCAACCGAAAGAACAGTATCATCGCTACAACAAGAGTTATCGTCTATACTAATTTCAGCCCTGGATTCGTTCGTCTGATCATCATCATCATCAATGATGTCAGAAGTTCGTGAATTTTCGTTAACCTCTCGTAAATCTTCGTAATTAGGAGTGTTCTGTAGTAGCTTGTCTGTTGAGAAGACATTTTCTGGACTATGACTGTCTCGCTCTTTCTTTAGGACATTATGTATGGCGAAAGAGGATGACAGTACCGGTCTTTCTTCTGTTTTCTCCTCGTCATGGTACTCTGGGCTGGTTGTGTCTCGTGTGTTGGGGGAGTACGGTTCATCATCACTGTGGTCTTGTATTTTGATCCTCGAGTCTTGGATGTGGGCTGACGATACAGCAGCCATCTTGTTTTGGGGAATTTACGCCATCTGTTGGAAGAAAATACAATAATTAGAATCTTGATTGTACTTTACAATTTCTGAAATAACCGAGATCGATTAAGGTCTTTTTTTTAAGGGAGGAAAATCATCGAATGACTTCTCCCGCCTGGGTGAGGCGGGAGGGAGTGTCAGACTCTTACTGACTAAAAACCAGTAGCAGGCGGGATTCAGCGTATTAGGCGTTAGGCCGCTTGCCTTCTCGACGCCTTCTACGAGCAGGATCGATCCTCTCGCTAAATCTAAGTATTAACTACATATTCACGTAGAATATGTCAACGTAGACGAACCAAGAGCTAGTTAGTAAATAAATTTCAAATTCCTAATTGACTTTAGCGTGCCCGATTGCTATTTAAACCTACGCTGGCATATAATTAATTGAGACCATAAGGTCAGTTTGTAATCAACCCGAGATCGAATTGAATGCCAAGCCGACATATTGGACAACCTCATTGGTAAATGAGACATGTTCGTAATATGAACCTATTTAGTATGCATGTAAGAAAATAATAGCTCCGGAGGACTTAACGGGTTACCGGGGCTCCGGCTCGAAGTGCAGGAGTAGGAACGGAGTGGTTTTTAGTCAGTAAGAGTCTGACACTCCCTCTCGCCTCACCGGGGCGGGAGAAGTCATTGGATGATTTAACAGGGACTTAACAGTCCTCCGCGGCAATATTCAGGTGAAAGAATGCTGTCTTGTAGCCTATTTGCAAATAATACATTTCATTCATTTCATGGAACATTAAATAAAACTGCCGAAGACTCGGTGTTACAAGTTACATTTAACACATGCAGTATTCTTCAACACGAAATCAAAGGCGTGATGTAACGATATGTTACTGAATTATTTCAACAATATCTTCAAAGTACTAAGTTTGAAATACCCGTTATTATATTATCAAAATATGACAGGCTAACAGCTGCATCGTGATGTTCGCTACTAGGCGATTGAGAGAGAAAATCTTTATGCTTCAATAGGTTAGGCAGTCATAATTTTAAGAGTAAGTTCTGTTCTAAGAAAATGGTGTGGGTAAATTGGTTTTGGTTATTTTCTTGTGGTGATATGCGGGCTTAAAACGCTCGCTTCTCATGCATGAAACTCCAGTTCGAAACCTACCAACGGCAAACTAATGTGACGTTTTCCAAGTTATATGTACTTTCTAAGAAGATACCCGGTTAAGGAAAACATCGTGTAGATCTGGGGTTTTTTTTAAGGGCGGAAAATCATCGAATGACTTCGCCCGGCTGGGTAAGGCGGAGGGAGTGTCAGACTCTTACTGACTAAAAACCACCCCGTTCCTACTCCTGCTCTTCGAGCTGGCGCCCCGGTAACCCATAAAGTTCTCCACGGCTCCGTATTGGCATCAGCCCTTAGATCTGGACTTATAATTTCTAATTATAAGTTTGTAATCGCCAACCCGCATTGAACAAGCGTGGTGATTAATGCTCAAACGTTCTCCGTGTGAGAAGAGACTTTGCTCAGCAGTGGGCATTTATAGGCTGTTGATGGATCACCATCAACAGCCTATAAATGCCCACTGCTGATGGGGATCACATCAGATGATGATGATGGGGATTCAGGGATTGGGGTAATTGGGGAGGGAGATAATTGCGCCTCCGCTAACCTCTTTCACATGAACGAACGCGCACCCTCATGCATGAGAAGCAGGCGTCTTAAACCTGCAGCCCACCACGACACTTACCCGTGTGAATATCAAGATAAGAACAATTAAAAATGACCAATCAGTTACTTCACTCGGTTAGGTTTAACACAAATAATGATAAAACGGTAACATACAGTGACTAGTGACGGTAGGAGAGACGTGAAACTAGTTGCATTACTAGTGATATGGGTTGTAAGAGGCTCTATTTTATTTAACATAACATCACGCCTTTTATCCCCAAAGGGGTGGGCAGAGGTGCACATTACCGCACTTAACACCACTGTACAATCTAACACCCACTTTTTCACTATTTATGTTACGATCCCATGTAATAGGGGGTGAGCCTATTGCCATATACCGGGCACATTTCCAGACTCCGTGCTACTAGTAAAGTTTTTACAAACCCAGTAATACTTTGCCCGACCCGGGCATCGAAACCGAGACCCCTTGCCCGGCAGTCGCACTTGCGACCACTCGGCCAACGAGGCAGACTCTCCAATTAACCACAGATGTATAACTTAGTTCAAAATATATGTCTGTATAATTTAAACTGTTCATAGTTAGGTAATTCAAACCGTTGTGATTAACTTAATGAGAATGCTGTTAAACTAAGCGGTTTGGCATTAACTTAAATAGTGAATGAGGTTCGGTCAAAATAGTTCGGGTACGGCTTTCTGAAGCTAATCTATAGTTCATCAATGTGTTAGCTGCTTTATATAGTCACTAGCTTTTACCCGCGGCTTCGCTCGCGTTACAAAAAAAAAGCCAATGTGACATATACCAATACACACAGCGCCATCTATACCAATATTTTGGTTTTCCCTCGGGAATATCAAATTTTTCAGGGATAAAAAGTACCCTATTATTTAATCCGGACTTGTAACTTTACGTCTGCAAAATTTCAAAGCAATCGGTTTAGTAGTTACGGCGTGAATGTGGAACAAACAAACAAACAAACAAACAAACTCACTTTCCGATTTATAATATAAGTAAGGAATAAGGATTTGAACTATCTTAACTGATATTATAAATACGAAAGTAAGTTTTTTTGTTAGCACTTTACGCTCATCATTTTTATCATCATCATCAACAGCCTATAAGTGCCCACTGCTGACCAAAGGCCTCTTCTCACACGGAGAAGGTTTGAGCATCAATCACCATGCTTGCTCAATGCGGGTTGTCAATTTCAAATTAATAATTAGAAATTATAATCTCAGGTTTCCTCACGATGTGTTCCTTCACCGTTTGTCAGTGGTGTCTAAATAATCTTAGAAAGTACATTATAACTTGGAAAATGTCACATTGGTACTTGCTGTTGGTTGGTTTCGAACCCGCCACCACGACATGTTGTGTCCATACTGCTGAAATTATGATATGTCAAGCTTTTCATGGGAATACAGAAGAGCAATAAAAAAACTGACTGCCTCGTTGGCCGAGTGGTAGCAAGTGCGACTGCCGGGGAAAGGGGTCACGGGTTAGATTCCTGGATCCGGCAACGTATTCCTAGATTTTAAAAAAAAATCTCAGTAGTAGCACGGAGTCTGATATTGTGCCCGGTATATGGCAATAGGCTCACTCCCTATTACATGGGAGTCATAACATAAATAGTGAAAAGTGGGTGTTACATTGTACAGTGGCATTAAGTGCTTTAATGTGCACCTCTGCCAACCCCTTCGGGGATAAAAGGCGTGATGTTATGTCATGTCACTAAAAAAAATTGTGTCGGGATTATTCTGGAAAATTCAGTATTTTTATATGTCAATGACGACAGCTTGTATGATTAGATACTTATTATAACTAATTATTTCGAATTTAATTGAAAACAGTAGTAAATTAGTTATACGTAACTGCACAACTTCATTTGTTTGTCTAGGGGTAGGCAGAAATGCACATATTTTTCAAATATAACACTTTTTAGTAGTAATATTATTTATGAATTCTATTGAATAGGGGACGTCCCAATTGTGTTTTGATGTTTAAGAATTATACTCGAGCTTACTATTACTAAAATCTATACGCAAAACTAGCAAATCAATTAAAAGATAAACAATTTTATTATTAAAAAAAACTGATCAACAGAATAAATTGCAACCAATTATTTTTTTAATCACCACTTAATAAAAATCTAACTTTAATTAAACAAACAAAACAGCGCTCTACTAGAGTCGTGCTAATTATTTCCTTTAAATAGAATCCTTCTAAACATTCGAAGTAGAGCCACTTTCCCAGCCGTATCGTCGTCGGAGACCACACACGTTGAAGTACAAGTCTCAACTCGATATACCTTTTAATCCGAACACCAACTTACACATGCACCTTACAAACTCACTTCAGTACTAGACCTTCGAACAAAATGCAATTCCACAACCGCAAACGTAAATTTGTCCACCCATACCTCGAAACCACGATAAGTATCAACTGAATTTAATGGAAAATCAACCTTATTTTCTAAGTGAAAGAGTTTATGTAAAGTGTATAGATAAATTGGTAAAAGATTACGTGTTTTGAGCGTAGCGAATCGTACTTACATTTTTTTTGTATCACGATTTCGCAATTTTAAAGGTGTTAGTTGTCTCAGTTACTTGTGTGGTTGCTAACTCGAAAATTATTAGTTATCTTGTCTTATCAATAGTATTTTCTAGTACTCGATTACTTAGTTGATTTGTTCAACAAATCGATTGAGTTTGCGATCGAATTTAAACAATAATCGAATCGATTCGAGTTGTATCTGTCAAGAATTGAATGGCGGATAACAAATGTCAATTTTGTAGGTTAAGTTTTCAATTGACATTATAGAGCGTGTTCTTTTTCAGCCGACTTCAAAAAATAGAAAGAGGTTCTCAATTGGACTGTATTTTATTTTTAGTTTTTAAGTTTATTTAACTACTTTTTATGGTGAAAAAAGCGTCATTGCCAATAGGGTAGATGACTAATTTTATTTTAATGTCCGTCTGGTAGATTATTTTAAGTCATTAGACATGTATTTTTTATTTTAATTTTTACAGAAACGAATACTTTCGACAATATATTGATTTGAATGTCGCGTGACGTCACTTCTATGTACATTTTATACATAAAAATGACGTTTTAGCCCCACTCCCAAACTTTGATTCGTTATATCTATCTATGTATTGTTTTATTATACGACAAAATAAAAAAAAAATATGTGTCTTATATTTTTTCATTACCTAACTGAAGGACTAATTAGATTTTTAATTTTCATACCCTTTTAACGTCCCTATTGCCAAGTATGAGGTCTTGGGTTCGATCCTGAAATCGAATACTGGGGCTCTGGCTTGAAGCAGGAACGGGGTGGTTTTTATTTAT